TGTGCGCGGGCTTTTTTAATCTCGGCCGGGGTTAGTGGTAGCTTTTGGGTGTTGGAATCAGCAACAAATAAATTGCAGGAATAAGTTAGAAAGTAGTTTATTCGGGGAAAAAAATGGGCGAAGGAAAATGCAAAGCGGTTCTCCTCCACCCTGCTCTGGTGGTAAGCTTTTTGGTTTTCTGTTTTTTTAGCATCAACAGCAGTCACTCTAATAAAATCGCGCAGGTTCAGGTTTTAATTAAAAACAACGAGCCTGGCATCTAAATATCTTTGTAGCCTCAGCTTTCACCCCTATTTTAACTTCACAACCTACTCTTAGGTGTCTTCGAGATGCCTTTTCCAACTATATTGCTTTGCTCTGCTCTGGAAAGGCTTTTTATCGCTTCCCATTCCATCGGCTTGTCCGAGTGTTTCCGACAGTTGTTTTGGCATTTACAAGGCGTGCTGTTTGGACAGGCTCAGTGTCATTTCCTGAGGAGAAATCTGTGTGTTTAATGGGTGCAGTTTCTCATTTTTTCGTTATCACAGACGACACTTCCTTTTTTTTCTTCCGTTGTGTCCAATGTGATAGTATGCAAACTGTGTGTTACAGTATCCTTAAGGTTTTCTTGCCTCTTGTTTCTTGAATTCCAATAAAATAATTTTATTTCAAAAAGTCAAGTGGACTAGAATCGTAGCGTCTTATTACCAACTTTTTTTCCACACTAGAGTGAAATCTCTGGCTTTTTATGTGGAAGCATAACTTAAGATAACAATATTTATGTTGTTGTTGCAAAAATAAATAAGACACACACTAAGCCAACTACAGAAGAGTTCACATTATCACTCGTGGAACGAATAGAAAGACAGACATCCGCCTCAGTAACTCCTTACAGTCTACATTATTCTTTGGTGCTAGCTCTTTTTCTGCAGCACAGTGAAAAGCTCCGTATAGTTTTTAAGGTTGTCAGTCAAATCTTCTAAAGGTAAGAAAATATATGCGTGTCGAATGTAGCCTTTGATTTTGTGATATCTAGTTGAGTGCACTCTTCTCACCTTCCCTCATGAGCCTAGGGTGGGCTCTTCTGAACCTTAAGTGATTTGTCAGGCCCTCCGCTTTCACGCCCAGTCAATCACTCCTTTCTTTCAAGAGATGGAGAAGGAAAGCAGCATGTTTAGAAGGCCTTGGGTATGCTGCGGGAGAAGATCTTGAGGGATGTTTGGGCACACTACAGAGCTAGAAACCAGTGGGGTTTTTTTTGTAACTTTTTATTGGTAATACCCAGTGCATCACCAATGCTAGTTGAAACACAGTGGTGGTACTATAGCTTATAACACTTGCCTGCTCAAGCCAGTATTTTGTACGTGGTTTGACACACTTATTTGATCATCTCACACCTCAAGGGAGACAAGAAGCGCTCTGTGGCCACTGGGGGAGAGTACAGTAAAGTATTTTAAATTATCAATCCTGTTTAATTGCTTAATCTTTTCCTTTAACGAGATGGTGTTTTTTAAACGATTAACGGAGTCCAGAAGCTCTTTACTGTCATGGTTGCTTTTGACTATTAGGTGTTTCTTCAAGCTGAATTTTGAGTCCTGCTCCTTAAGACCCTCACTAGCGCACACAAACAGTGCCGGGTAAGGGGGTGCTCAGTTAGGAGTGTCCCACAAAGAAGGCTTTGGTGTTAAAGAGCTTGTATGCCCTATCTGAAATCCACTGTGCAGCCGTTGTGTATGTCAGGCACTATATCTTACTACAGAGGCAGTCATCCCCTCACCCTGATCTGCGAAGAACCCTTCTCCTAAAATTATTCTAGCAAGAGTCTCTCAGTCGAGAGATCTCCCCAAACCTCTTCATCAAGTGCAGCACGAGTAACAGTTTATTTCAGTTTGCTCTCCTGTGCCTGCTCATCAGGGAAAAGAGAGAAGGGGCTTTCGCAATTGTGATGAAAGGCTTGATCTGAGTCTGTGAAAATATTGTGAAGTAAAAAGGAAGGCCTTTTTCTTTTTTCTCACCTCAATTTAAAATAAAGAAACTTTGCAGAGTTTCTCCTGAGTTATTCCAACAGAAAGGAGCACTGGCATTCGCAGTCATTTATTTCAAAGAAGTCTGTTGACAGTTTCAAGTGTTCTGCTAGTCTTAGATCTGGTGAATCTAGTAAGTATCTGCTCTTTATTTTTTCTTATTGCTGAATTCTGATCATAATTTATTTTATTTAATAACACATCAAAACTTCTTCCATGTAACATTTTGCACCTCACTTCTGATGTGGCAATTATTTCAATTTATAAACATACTTCCTTCGAAATGTACTTTTTAATCAAGATAAGCAATTCATAGATAATCTTCTCTCAGAGACGTGCTAACATTAGCGTTAACAAGTACCTTACTCAGTTCTTTGGTATTGATTCCATTGTGTTAGATGGGTGCATTACTCGTCAGCATGCCTTTTTGCTTCATTCCAGTATTAAAAGGGAGGAACGGGCTCTTTAGAGTAAGAATGTTGATGCTGCAGGCTAAGGAGTCAGGCAGAAATTCTTGTAGCAGTGATCTATTGTGACACACAAGTTTAAATTCAGACTCTCATGCAGAGCAGGCAGGTATTGTCAGTCACAAATATACGAATGTTAAGAATCTGCCTCCTAGTTTTAGACTGTAATCATTTTCCTACTTTATTATCTGACTGGTCAATTAGTTCATCACTCTGTGACCAAGTAGCAACATATTTATTACTTTCTTCACAGGGCCCGCTCTCCTAATTACTCTTCCTATTTTTATGCTTTTCAGCATGAGAGATCCTATGGTGGGTAGGATGGTTTTAACCATTGTCTTGTGAATCCTTGCATGCATAAGGAGTTTCACTTACCAGTCGTACCAGTGTCAGTTATTAAAAAAACTTTAAAAAAAATCTTTAGTTAATTTTTGGTCAAATTTTTGCCATGTGCTTTGAATAAATCTAATTTATTAAAGGTGTTTGTGTGGGGAGAAAGGAGAAAGAAAGGCTGGTTCTGCAGTGGCTGGATCGGGCATATTTTGGCCTGAATCACATGATACAGGTTGACCATAGATCTGGGACCCACTTTCCTACATGTCATACTTTTATCACATGGCTTTAACCAACTCTCCTTTATGTCAAATACTATACTAGCAAAATCTTCATATAAATAC